CCCGTAACGCCCCACTCAGCCACACATGCCATTTGGCGTGTGTGTGTGTGTGTGTGTGTGTGTGTGTGTGTGTGAGCCTGCGAGTGTCTGCTCATGGAGTGACATTCTGGGGTGTTTCCGGGCTTGTTTGCACAGGGATTCAACTCCTGTTATCTTCCCTGCAGCAGTAGGAAAGATGGGAAAACATACCGTCTCTTTTTTCTCTCCCACCTCTCGCCCTCTTCCTCCTCCTCCTCCTCCTCCTCCTCCTGTTTCCTTTGACCCGTACTACCTACGGTGAGGGCTGATGGCAGACGGTTCATTCCTGCGTTGAGCGCTGAGCACACCTGTGCCGGGGTGTGTTCCTCTCGTCCTGCCTGTTTCCTACTTTTCTTTTCCTTCATTTTTTTTCCATCCCACTGTCGGAGATCAGCCGGAGGTTTTTTTTGTTTTTTTTCCTTTATTCCACTGATCTTCCAGGGGTTTTCTCGTTCATCTCGGGCTTGCAACAGGGATCACTTCACACCTCGGCTCTGTTTGTTATGCTTGTCCTGTCATTCCTTAACCCACCCGAAGGAAGCCAAATAACTGTGTGTGGATGAGGGAACAGCCGCCCCAACCCACCCATACCACCACAACCTCCACAATCCCAACAGAGCAACTCATCTCTGCTGACAGAGGGAGATGAGGGTGAGACAGGCTCAGGAATGCTGCCCCCCCTCCCCCCACCTCACCCCCCCATATCTATGCAAGAGTTTCATTTTGAATTTCAGATGAGCCAAACATTCCTATGTAACAGACGAAAATAAATAAATACATTTTCTGACTTCATCTATAGCTAAAAAAACAACCCCAGAGCCGGGCTCTAACACATGAATCAATATATTTGTTGATTAATAATCTTGTATTTTAAACGACTATACAGTAATGAGGTACTGATGCAGTATTCATCACTTCACTGGGTTGGCAGTGGTTGGAGTTGTGTCTCATTAGAGTCTGTCCCACGACAGGATTTCTTGGAGCTCCACCATGTGTGACTTTGTTAGTTAGTCCATAAATGGTCCTCTACAGAACCCAGTACCACATGACCTACTTCAGCTCCCTCCAGCTGCTTTAACTTTAACTCCAGTCCACTTCAACTGGAACTCTGGAACTGAGTCCATCTACTGGCCACAGAAGGAGTGAGCGAGCTCAAAGACTAGAAACTTTGTGGCAAATTCACGACCAAATCGGATCCAACTGTAGACCCTGGTCCAACTGTAGACCCCGCCCCCCCGCCCGTCCCGTCAGTGTACTGCGTTACCTTTGCAGGCCTTGCGGTGGGAGATGGGTTTGGACAGGTCTCTGTAGTAGCCCTCCTTGCAGTAGTGGCAGGGGCGCCCCGCTGTGTTGTGGCGACAGTTGAGGCAGACTCCTCCGCCCTTCCTCCCCGACAGCTTGTACAGCTCCATGTTGAAGCGGCAGCGTCGGGCGTGAAGGTTGCAGTTACAGGCTGTGGATTAAAGAGAAACAGGAGCGAAAACTGTTGACGTTAGTCTGAACTGGGACGAGTTAGGACTGAAGTTGATCCAGTTGATAAGAACATTATAAAAGAAGGGAACTTTATATTTTAACCTTTAATTCAAAATTAAAATGATTCACTGTTGAACCCACACCTTGAAGAAGAAGTAGAAAAGTACTTCATACACCCCATGAAGGAAATTCACCAGCTGCAGCAGCAGTATTAGAAGGGAAACCAAAAAATAAAACAATAAAATATGGTCGCAGATATATATATATATGCGTATGTATTTTTATATATTTATATATATATACATATATAGTATATATTTAATATGTTATATATATGTGTATATATTTATATATACAAATATATACTGTATACATACACAGACACATATACATATATACTGTATATATATATAATATGGTATATGTATATATATATTTACATATATATTTAATATGTTATATATATGTTTATATGTGTATATATATTTATACATACAGATCAGTCTAAATCATAACAGTGTTTGGATAAACTGTTTACATTTTATTGAGTTCCAAATCTTTTTTTGCGACTCTGGTGTTTGTTGTCGTTTCCAGACCCAGTGAGAAGTTTTTGTTAATGAGGTCACGACAACTTTCTTTCCGTTTTCTCCCCCTTTAACTCCCTACTCTGCCTCTTGTCTAAATGTTTTTGCTGTTTTTCTGCTTCTCCTTCCCTTCATGTTGAGGAGCTCATTTGCTCTTACCGACCGCACTCTGCCAAACAGAGAGCGAAGGCGTGGAATTACCATTCCTTCACTCCCTGTAAATCCCTCTGAGCATGTGCAGGAAACCTTCACAGCCCCTTGTTTACTGATGAATACAGTTGCCAGAGCTGAGTTTAATTAGCTGGCTGATGTTTATTCATGACTTCCTCGCAGCAGAGTGAGGCAGACACGCTCAAATTCATTAAAGCTTGACGTCCGAGACCCGGGTCCAACAGCAGCACAGACACGTTCATGAATTATTAAAAACTCCACTTCTGATACAGTTGGTGGACTTTATGTGTGTAGACACACTCTCTCTGTGTGTGTGTGTGTGTGTGTGTGTGTGTAGGTTATCTGGGTCCAAGTGGGGCTCCTTGGCTCTTTTGTCTGCTCCACAACCTCATATTCTTTTCATCTTTGGCCCATATCATGAGTAAAGTTCTGGTAACTTCTGGAGCCCCTTAAGCTAACTCTGAACTCCAAGGAGCTAATTACGCTCTCTTTTATTAAATACACGTACAATGTGAGGACTCACCCTCACCCCTGCCTCCCACCCCCTCGGCGCACTAATTACCACAACCTGATTATTTCACAGTATCTTCCAGATCGTGAATCATCAGTCACAGCCATAAACCCAGCCTTCCAACTGAAGCCGAATGATGTCAGTGTGTCAGTAAACTGGAGCTGGCTCTGCTCCGTCCAGCTCTGCTCCACCGCTGCTCAAAGCTATCTGGAGATCTGGCCTGCAGGTAAGAAGGATCACTATAAATAGGATTAGAGCTGGTGGTGGATCAGTGCTCGGCCCCAGACCTGCAGCCAGGTCTCTGTTACACCACAACTATGGTTTCACACCCACTTAGAGGAAAGACAGGGGAATTCTATCCTGCGCCGGACTCCGTGGCCCCAGTGAGGAGCAGGCAGTGGTGCTGAAGGGCATGTGGTTTGTTGTGGAGACGGCCCACGGCCGGGACGTGAAGGTGCGGGGCCTGGAGCCCACACAGCCCTCGCAGGGTGGGGTATCATGTCAGATAATGGAGACGAGTGAAACACTTCATTTTTTACATGGTGAAGAAAGCGGGCGCGACGAAAGATCGTTCGCTCAACGTCGCCTCACGCTGTACAGAGGGTTTAAACGATATGATGTGACAGAACTGGAGCAGATGCAGATGGATGAGGAAATATAAATAAATATATGTGCAGTGAGAGAACGCTGTGGTGATGGGAGCTATGGACGAGTAAAGCTCAAAGCCAATTCAACTCAGGAGGATTTGTTTTTAATATTTCACTGTGAAACACAATTGAACTGATTTTTTTTTAGAAATATCTGATTTTTTTTTTTTTTTTTTTAGAAATATCTGACGTAGTTATGCTGGATACGATTATATTACTCTTTGCATTTGTGATACTTACTTTTCCATACATTTGTTACTTTTCATATTGTTTCTCAAAATGGGGGGCAGGCCGCCACTAAGGAGCATAGAGTTACAGCAGGGGGACGATGCAAACTTTTTTTGTGCCACAGTGGGGAAATTACAAAAAATAAGTAATTTAAAATTTTGTTTCATCTCATGTTTAATGAGATGAAGTTTAATCGTAGTTCGATGTTTTGAAGCCAAGGCAGTTTTGCCGTCTACAAAAAGGGGGCACTGCAAGTAATATAGTATGCATGTAATGAGTGACAGAGGAATAAAATCTGATTCAACCGTGAGATGAGCGTTCTGTTAAATGTCTGCCTCACTTTTCTCCATCTGTTATTTTCTGCTCAGTTATATATTCCATTACAGAAAATAGTCCTAACAGAAATACTTCATAAAACAAGTCATTAACTCGCATTAAGAGCATGAGGAAACACTAACCTGCTGCTGTCATCAGCCTAACAGTCGTGACAACAACAACAACAACACACTCACACACACACACACACACACACACCAGCAGAGCTGTGAAATGATTCTTTAAAAACAGGCGTAATTCAATTAGCAGGACAAAGTTCCCGAAACTCGTCAACATCACGTGTTTCGTGAACCACGACAATGTGAAAACGACAAAGAAAAAAAAAATCCTCGTCCGTTTCTCGCAGCTGCTCGCACAAAACTTGAACCTCTGACTGCATGGCTTCACAGGAAACTGATTTTGTTTATCACTGGTTGCTGTTTCCCGCACATCCTAGGAAACACGGGGCCCCGGCGCAGTGTCTGGGTGTGTTTTGGAAAGTTGGCTAATTAGTTTCTTCAAGTGGTTCCTATCCTCTATCAACTGACCTCAGTCTCGCAGCAGCACAGACGCAGCCTCCCCCTTTCACTAATTAGGGGAAAAATTCCACCAACAGAGCCGGGGGTTGAGGTTAAGCTCGCCGTACTTAACGATAAGCCCGGTAATTGAGCAACGTCGGTCACGGCCTCGATTTGTTCTAAAGAGACACTTGAGCAACTGATCTCTGCCACTTTCACTCCAGATCCACATGATGGATCTGCCGTAGCCGCGGGCTTCGACTTCACTCCCGTTATTATTAGGATAAAAAAATAAATAAAATAAAAACACCCACAAATAACAACAGTCTGACTGGGAGCAGAAATGTTTCCATTAGAGGAGACGTTTATTTACAACTTTCTGTTTCTCCTCAGATCAGTGGATGGTACACAGACACTTTGACAAGTCTGGCACTTTCCCAAAACTCTCCCGAGGTTTCGGCCGTCCTGGGTGCTGACACCTCCCGGGCTCATCCAAACAGGATGGAAAATTCAAGTCTGTCAGGACCCAGCAGGAGTGAGGCCGTCTCTATCTCCCTCTCCTTAAGTAAACACTGAGGGCAGTCCACACTTTTGAATCGTATGGTCAGACTAATGCCCCAACAGGGGTAATCAGATTAAGTTCTGAACACTCACGAGGAACAATTTTCTGGGAACGAAAAAAAACTCGACCATTTCCTAAGACTGTTTGAGTCTTTTATCCAGAGCTTTCTTTCTATCTTTCTGTTTCCTTACACAAACACACACATGTGGCTGGGTGAGCGCCTCCTCTGGCCTCCCTCTCCCTCTCTCTCTCTCTCTCTCTCTCTCCCCCACGTCTCCCCGTGTGGAGATGGAGTTGACAGAAATGTGCCATACACACTGAGGATGTTTTAGGTTTGCTGCTTGTCAAGAACGAACCCAAGATCAGATGTGTGTCGAACGCGAAACAGCACTCGCTTCAGTTAAGACATAAATTCATGTCACTGGGGAAAACCTGAGGTTTCACTGGAATTTTAGGGATTTTTTTTTTTTACTCTTGTTGCCTCTTTATAACCGATAGTACCTGTCAAACAAAGTAAAACACAACTTCTTTAAACACGTGCATGTTTTGGCTAAAACACAACTTCTTTAAACACGTGCATCTTTTGGCTGGTATTTAAGAAAAACAAAAAAAAAGGTAGTTCAAATTCAAATGATAGTCAAAGTAAATTAATTTCAATAAACCAGGATCAAATAAGTAAAGATGCCGTTCTACTCTCTGTGTGAGAAATAGAGAGTAATATGATTCTTTGGGAATTTTCTTTTTTTTTTCGACTGTTCAAAGTCTGAGTCCACGCATGAAAAGAACGGCTGTCTAAGAGCTTAGGGGCCACCGCTGAAAAGGTCACATCAACTCCACTTCAAGTCTGGATCTGAACACTACTTTCATTAAACTCTGGTTGAAGACGAGCGATTGGAAAAATCAATTATGACTCCGCCAGCTGATGAATTGAATGGATTATAATCCCAGTTAAAATGGAGATAAATCTCATTTACAGTTACCAGATTCTGAGCGGCAGCGATGTGTGTGTGTGTGTGTGTGTGTGTGTGTGTGTGTGTGCGTGGACGTCTCCTCCTAATGAGGAGCAGCATGTGGTCGCTTTAAGAATCTGCGTAGATTTTCGAACGCTGATTATTTGTTACTCAGGGTGATGGCATGTGACGGAGGCAGCTGCCGAAGACGCCGTCGTCTTCGTGGACGTCGGGCCGTCGTGACGGAGCCCAACGCTGACACACAGTGGTTTGTTTAGTCGTCCAGTCTCATCAGCCTAGCTCGGTGTCGTCAGTAGACCTCGACATCGTGACTCATACGTGATTCCTTATCATCGGTTCCGTCCTTGTCCAGCTGCTCTGTGGATAATTTGCATCTACGATTTGGCACAGGTTTTTATGCAGGATGTGTTTCCCGACAGCCCCTCCCCCGCACATTCATCCAGGCTTGAAGCCAGCGTGAGGAGGACATTGAC